CACAAAACCTTATTATTTAACTTTTCTCTACATCCATGACATCGTTTCACATCGTGAGGTGACACAGAATCGATGGGTGCATACATTATCACTCCATGATACGAACTCGCGACTTTATAAACAAAAACAGACATCAAAACATGTGGCGCTAGGTAGCTAAAAACGCTAACATGGCTCACCTGTCTCGTAGTCTGGTCAAAAGTGATCTTCAATGGCATTAAAACGATAAAAACGCTGCTGAAGTTAATCCATAGGATAATCCAATGTGTCTGTGTCCCTTTGAAATGATTTCTGATAATCCATGAGCAATAAACCTGCCTTTCCGTTTCCAGATATCAGAGCTAGAGTATAGGTTCGCTCTGATGCAAAACTGCATGCGCGAAGCCCCCACCTTTTTATTTGACCATGTGTGTGAGAGGGGAGATCCCCCTTCGATTATATTGGCTCTAACGGTCATAAAGAGATGTCAATCATCAAAATCGACCAATGGGTTCCAGAGAAACGGTAAAACCCCCATTTCCACCCAAATCACCTCAGAGGTGGAGTTTTGCTAAACCTCTCTAAAAAGGTAAAATGTCACTTGTTTTGCATCAATCTTGATACAGGGTACTTATTATATGTTGGACTTTGGATTCCTAAAGCTTTTAGTCTACCTTACCATCATCCAAGGGTAGTTTTCACTATAAGTAAAACATAATATTTGGACGGACATTATCATTTACAGTTTTTTACTATGTAAAATCTGAATTTTCTTTAAAATAAAAAACATCTATATTGTTCTGACTCTTCTACATCCAACTCACAGGTTTATCATTACTTTGAGAAAAAGATTATTAATTTAACCCTTTTAGAAGGGAAGATATGGTCATTTGTTCTGGGAATGTCATTTTCGAGCCTGAGACCTGAAAAACAGGCTCAGAGCTAAACAGGTTAACCCTTTTAAAGGATTTACACACATCTCCCCTGTTTAAAACAAAAGGGCAGGGCTCTGGCTCCTGATCCTTCTCTGCACCCACAGCCTGGCTGCTCTCAAATCGTGCAAAAAAACTGTTCAGCTCATCTGGGAGAGATGCGCACGCAGACACTCCCGCAGCACCCCCCGCTGCTCCTTTGTAGTCTGTCATTGTTCTTATTCCCACCCACATGTTCCGGGTGTTACAGCCTTTGAAGTCAGATTCCACCTTCTCTTTGTACTGTCTCTTTGCACTGCATATAGCTCTCCGGAGCTCATACCTAGAATTCCTGAACTCCTTCAAATCTCCAGCTCTGTGCGCGATAGTGCGTGCTTTCAGTTTGCCACGCACCTCGCCGTTTATCCAGGGCTTTTGATTTGGGAATGTTCGTACAGAAACCTTCGGTACCACGTCATCGATGCATTTCCCAATGTAACATATGACCGTATCCGTGTGTGTTGATGTTATTGTCCTCAAACACACTCCAATCCGTAGATGCAAAGCAATCCTGCAGTGCTGAATCTGACTCCTCACTCCATCGCTGTACTGTCCTTGTTACCGGTCTGTCAGCAGCTGATGTGTTGGTAGTACTTCGGCAGGACCTTCTTCATGTTAGCGGTGTTAAAATCCCCGGCCACAACGAACGTCGCCTCTGGCCGTGAAGTCTCGGTCGAGTGCCGTGTTGTTGTCGGCTAGCGGCGGAATATACACTGCTGTTATCACAACAGATGTGAATTCTCTCGGCAGGTGAACAGGCCGGCATGTGATCATGAGGTGCTCTAAATGAGCGGAACAGTCCGAAGAAATAACCCTCACATCTGTGCACCAGTTGTTATTAGTCATTACACACACACCGCCACCTTTACTTTTCCCTGAGTTAGCAGTCCGGTCCTGACGAAAAATAGTGAATCCGTAAGAACAATGGCGGAATCCGGGATAGCGGGGTTGAGCCAAGTCTCGGTGAGAATGAACACGTTACAGTTCTTAATGTCCCGTTGAAAAGCAATCCGACTTCTGAGTTCATCTAGCTAATTTTCAATGGATTGAACATTAGCCAGAAGAATACTCGGAAGAGGGGGTCGGTTTTCTCGTTTCCTCAGTCTAACCAGCAACCCGGTGCGGGACCCTCGCTTGGTCTTCCTCCTGCGTCTCTGAGGTAGGACAGCAACAGGTAGCCATGGCGAATCTCCATTGTCTGTCGGTGGGTTATTGTCCAGGAAGTTTCGGATGTGAAGAAGTTCCTCTCTGCTATATTGTATAGCAGAGTTGGTGCGGTCGGCTTGCATGTTGCGAACCATGTTAAAAACAAAACGGCAACAAGTAAATAAACACGCACAAAATACGAAAAAGGGCAAAGTTGGAGAGGAGCCAAACGACAATGCGGCCATCTTCACCGGCGCATTTTGCATCGTGAGTACCAGCGTTATAGAGATCATACAAGTCTTTTCACTGATAAACAAATCACTTAATTTATTCAATGAATCATTGAGAACTGTTTATAGCAATGCATGAGCAAGAGAAAAACACTTTTTGATACAGTTTACCCAACCCAATCAGAGTAATAATTCTCAGAGAGCCACCTGCTAACAGCCCCCCCCCTCCTTTCTGTGTGGGAATGGTGTTATGATTTTAAGGAGGAGGATGCAGAGAGAGAGAGGCCCTCTGGGAAGAATAGACATGAGTACTAAGTGGTAGAACAAAACAACTTTCATATACTTTGCCGTCTCCCCTCTGGTCGGAGCACGTCTTCTCTGGAACATTAGCTCTGTGAAGTGCAGTTTGTCAGGGTCTAACAGCAATAAATGGGATGAGTTCAACAGCATTCTTCTTACCCTGTGTAATGGTGCTTATTTATCAGAGACAGCAGTGTATCATCCATCTCTTGTTTACGTTCTGATCAAGAACGGTGCTTTGACAGCGTGACAAATGTAATTAAAGCGCCTTATCATCTTATGCTGTGTGGTGGAATGCTTTTACCACTGCATGGTAATAGGAGTGGTTCACACACACACACACGTTCAGAGCCACACACACACACCGACATACTGCACAGGGGAGGTAATGGCATTGTTAATTACCACACTGCTGCCACTGCTGCTGGCCAATATCTCACTTCCTTCACTTTCACAGCGTCACCTGCCAGTGTAGGAGTGATAAACTGGGTCCACCAGGCAGTGGAGAAGGAAGGCAAATCTACTTTCCTGCCATGAATGCTAATGCAAACACATACAGTAGCTAGCCAGTAAGCTAACAAGGTCATTACAGGTCCACAGGTGCATGGCATTGAGCCCCATTAAGCATGCTCTTTATACCGCATATGTCTGCCGTCAGGAAGATGGACGACAACTGCCTGCAATGCAAACCCATCCATGTAAGATAAGCAACTGTTACACAAACTCTAGAACCAGTGTATGTGAAGAAAACAACACAAACAAATCAACTCTAGCTCATCGTTAGCCAAATCCCTTCATACTTCCTCAATTAATCCATCCACCTCCCCACATCCCTTCACCCCGCCCCTCATCCCTTTACCTCTCCATCTACTGACTCCTTCATCCCTCACTCTCCTTATCCTCACCAACACCCCTCACTCCTCTCATTCCTTCACCCTCACCAAGATCCCTTCACCCCTCCTGCCACTGACCCTTTCATCCCCTTCTCCTTACCAATATCTCTCACTTCCCTCATTCTTGCATCCCTACCAACATCTGTTCACCCCTCAACACATCGACCGCTCCATCCCTTGATCCCTTAATCTCTCCCTCCCTTCATCCCTTCAGCCTCTCTACCTGTCTCCACTGATCCCTTCCTATTCAGCTTGAGCATTTATGTCATACGAAATGTTTACTTTTAGTGTCTGGAGGGCCCACAATCAGCTCGTATAGAATTACACCTGAGACGGAACCCCACTACTTCAGTTCATCCTTCCAGACCAACCTAATGCAACATCATTTGTCATCCACCTTTAACCCCCCACATTTAAAAAATATATATATTTCTGTATGTTATTGTATTGATATGATCGTGTTATAATCTTCTATATTTCTGTAAATACAAATAAGGATTTCAGCAATTTGTAGTTAAAAACAAACTAAAAAAGGTATTGAACATTTCTTGCTCATGTAATGAAATGCACATTGTTGCATTTTAGCCAGCATTACATCTCATATATGAACATTTATTCTTAACTTATATTAAAAAAATCATATAAATACATACATATCTGTATTATACATATATATGTATATACATTTATTACCAAATCGAAAAGCATGAAAGAAAATGTGATTTTATTTCACGCTACTTACAAAAGCAGAAATGTGAAGGTTCTATGTATAACTAGTATTACTAATGAAAGCCCAGTATGCCTAACTCATAAACTCATGAATATGTTTGCTGTGTCTAACAGAGCCAGTAGAGGCCAGGATATGCTTACTTATATAATCCTAGCTTTGGTCAGACTTTTTATAGACTCTGCAAAATAAACACATTTCAAATTCCACGGTCACAGTTTGTAACAGGCCCTTTGGTTAATTGTAAATCCTGGTGACATCGTATGGTGGTTGTTCTATCAGACTTCACAACGCTGCTTAAAGACACCTTAAGGCAACTGATAGGGACATGAACAATTGGATGAGTATTGATATAATATATAAAACCTGTGTTAAATTATTTGGTTATAATTTGAAACACATATGGGCCTTTAAAATGTGAGGTAGTAATTTACTGCAGGAGAATTCAGCAGCGTAGGGATTGTTGGGCCACTGGTATTGATTGAGAACCCTATCGATGCACCCTTACTGTTGGAGACTGTGTGGTCATATTGTGCAATGGGGCATACAAAGCTGAATGTATTGCACATTAACCACATGGTCATAAAACCCCATTTTGCTCCACTGTTTACATGTTGCCCCATGCATAAGCCTGTACTTTATGGCAGTTATTGAGAAGTATCGAGAACGTAATAATCCCTTTCACTTCCCATCGGCAATCATTGAAAGACTTTACTTTTCTCTCAAAGGATAAAGAGTTTCAAAAGGTGCCTACCTCGTACAGATCCAGCATCTGGTTCCCACCGATGCCCCTAGTGGTCTTGACATTTTCCAAGGCCAAGGTGAAGTAGATCCCTCTGGTGTCGGACAAGTAGAGGTTATAGGTGTCGTTCTGGTTCCACTCCTGCACCGCCGCAAATACCTGCTTCTCATCACTGCTGACAATGTGTAAATCCTATCAGGCAGCAGGAGAGATTAAGAGGAGTTATGACTGGAAGCGGAGAGGTGACGGATTAGAACATGCTGACCCTGGGGGACTGGTCATGAGATCAATGTTGTGATTATAAATAGTGGAAATACTGTAATGTAAAGCTCCCTAAGAGGCTCACTGTGAGTGTGATACCGTGACCTAAAGTATGACTTTAAAAGCACAGTATGCTAGCTTTAAAGGGAAAACGACCCTAACAAAGTGGTTATATGTGTGGTTTAACAATCTTTAAAAAAAAAGAAATTATGTATTTATTTCAACAAGGACCATACAGACAAATACATTAATCTAAGAAAAGAGAAGAGAGGAATTATGCCAGATGTGAGCTAATAGCTAATTTCCATCTGCAGTCCTTAGGTAGGTACATAACAATCAACAAACACTAAAAATATTGCATAATCTCTATCACACAAACAATTATAAAACATGATTTAAGTACAGGTCAATACAATAATACATAGTACCAGTTAAAATATAATATTACAATATTTAAAATTGAAAAACTCAGATTACAGTGTAATTAATGTTGGCATGACTGGTTGCTTAATATAAAAAAATGTGCACCACAAGAGAATGAGTTAAAGTCAGTACAGGTTTTAAGTTCAACTGGAAGAATATTTCAGTGTTTGATGGCCGTAAATGAAAATGCAGATTGTGCAAAGGCAGTGCGCCTCAGAGGGACGGATCTGCATTTAGTGCAGATCTTGAGTTTCTGCAACTCTGCTATCTATCTATCTCACGGCGAGGCTGAAGAAAACTCCTCAATGGTGGTGTTGTAGCATTGTAAATGATCCTGAATACCAATCGAACTCTTGAAAGCAGAATAAGACCATAACAACTTAAAAGTTTGGATTTGGACAGTATATTGCAATGATGGTGTTTTAATTACTTTCTATCCATACATTCTAAATACATTTCACTGCTGTGACACCATCTAAATCAGGGGTGGGGAACCTTTTTCCTCCTCGAGGGCCATTTCAATTTTTACAACATCCTCGGAGGGCCGTACAAATTATTGAACTCAACCTCTGCTAAAAAAAACTAAAGTCACAGCTCATTCATTTGGCCTTTCTTTCATGTTCAAAGAAAAAGCAACCTCTTAATCCAGATATCTTTCTGTTTTATTTTCAAAGTTTTTATGCTTTGGAGAGAGTGTGTAAAAGGCATAAGGACCAAAATGCAGACGCTCACTATGACTCGTGCATGCATGCAGATTTTATTTTTGAATAGTTAAAAGCATCAATCTGGTGCACTTTGAGAGCAAAAGTAAGAGATCTATGGATACATCTCTCAACACCCATATGAAACAGAACTGTAAACAGATTTCCTTTATGGATATTTTACAAATCACTCCCCAATTAAATTGTATTCTTGTTTATTAATAACAACTTTTGTTTACTGTCATATAATATTTTATACCTGTTTTTCATTTATTCTCTTTTTATAACTATTATGATCATATAAAGGTGTGCCTTTGCCTCACTGAGCTGATGTGTATGGCTCCTTATGGGTACTGCAAAGTGCTGGAGCGGCGTTCCGGCAGCACTACACCACGTGATGACACGTTACGCTCGTGTTGTGTTCAAGGAACCTGTCCTTGGCCAGGAAAAACAGCTAGTCGCGTGTTTAATTCTATTGCGGTCTAGATTTCTTTAATTATTTTTTTTTTGCATGTGTTTATAAATTACCTCGAGGGCTGTATCAAATGGTCTCGCGGACTGTATACGGCCCGGAGGCCGGAGGTTCCCCACCCCTGATCGAAATCAATGGCTTTCAGGAATAGGAATACTGAGGTTACTGAATCTAGGATTAAACAGATTTCATAAGAAGTCAAAAAACAGGTGAGGTTAATGCTGCAACTTACCTTAGGCAGGGAGTATTTGGGGAGTTTGATTTGTATAAAAAGGTCTCTATTGTAGGAAACATAATATGTGGCTCGTCCTGATGTAGGAACCTGTAACACATAAAGTAATATGTATTTCATATATTGAATAAAACATGCAGGTTTTATGCACGTTGCCTCTCTTTTACCAGTGATGGAGGTCTGCTGTTGAACAATTGCAAGGACACCTTTTACTCATGTGTCACAGAATCATTGAGACCATATCATATTTTTCTGCAAATAATTAAAGTGGTGGGTCAAAGCGTACATTCATCACCTTATCACTTTGTCCAGCGGGTTTACACAAACAGCTGCTTGGAAACACAGCTGTTTTAAAATTGTATAGGCATTAACAGCAATTTCCCAGTTTGCATCCAAATGATACTTCATATTATTGATGTCAATGCGCTTTGGTGGTTTCCAAGTGAAATTTGGTAAACATCTCGTAGGTAAATCAACAGTCGCATTAATGTTTGTCTAGAGAACGTTTTAAGTTGCCAAACCAAGTCTCATCTGCAGGACAAGAAAAAAAGATGTTTTCCTTAGTGGTAGCCACTTTGCAAACACTCCTTTTATCAAGGCCTCATGTGTTTCCTCGTCTCTGTAACCATATCATATTTTCTCCAATCAAATGACGTGTTGTATCAAAGTGTACATCCATCTCCCACTCTCTTATGCTGGCTGGATTTCAAGACACTGCTAGATAGAACGTTTTTTTTGTGTTTTAACTTCTATGGGCATTCATAGCGACCTCACAGCTTACATTCAGAGGACGCTACCCTCTCTAGGTGTCAAGGTGCTTGGTGGTTTCAAAGTGGACTTTGGTAAATATCTGGGTGGTGAATCAATAGTCTCATTATTCGTTTTTCAAGGAAATCTTTAACTCCCCTAACAGAGCCTCATCTGCAGGCTAAGACCAAAAGAAGTTGTCCGTAAAGGTAGACACTTTGCAAACACTCCTTCGATCAAGACCTCAGGCGTTTCCTCCATATCATATTTTATCCAATCATTTGAAGTGGCGGGTGAAAGAGAATATCCATCTCTCACTCTCTTTGTTCTGCTGGTTTTCAAGGCACTGCTAAACAGAAGGGTTTTTTGGGTTTTTTTACTTTTAAGGGCATTTATAGCGATCTCCCGGCTTGCATTCAGAGGATGTTGCCCTCTCCAGGTTTCAATCTGCTTGGAGGTGGACCTTGGTAAATATCTGGGTGGTGAATCAATAGTCTCATTATTCTTTGTCCAAGATAATCTTTAAGTTGCCTAACCAAGCCTCATCTGCACGCCAAGAATCAAATAAGTTGTCCTTAAAGGAAGCCCCTTAACAAACACTCCAAGATGTTTGTGTTGTTAGCTGATGCGGCTAAAAAACACAGGGTTGGTGGCTGTTGAAGAATTGTCATTAGCCTCAAGGCCACAGAAGTGCAACACTTTATACTCATACACACAGAGAGACAGTGCAGACTGCAGCAGTATAACACACTTTTTAGTCCTATCAATAACGACATAATACTCGGAAAAACCTTCAAATCAGGCCTGTGGCTCGCTGCTGAAAATAAGTGATATATCAGTAATAATGTTGTATGGCAGGGCTGATTCTTTTTACTGATCTTTAAGTTCTCTGAATGGCCCAGAAGAGAGAAAACAAGCTATATTGGCGGAGTAGCGGTGAGCACTGCAGAACAGTCCCACATGCAATCGAGTGCAGGAGCATGAGATCGATGGCGGGGTAACCAGAGGCGGTTTGAACTTTAAGAGGAATTGGTATGATTGATTTTTTTCCCCCAACCCTTCAGGATCTTTCGTCTGTGACGCATACGTGTTAAAATGTGGAGGTGCTAGAATTGAAGGGGAGGTTTAGGTTGAGTGATTGTGAGTCTACTTGAAATACTTCGGAGAGGTCAAACAGGATTGAAGGATCTTTGGAGAACAACTCTATTTCTTTGTCTAATGTGCTGCCAAGGCCAGTAGGAGTTGTGCAGGAAGCACATGCCTGTAGGTGGCTCAGGTAAGCAGGCCTCTGAAAAATTGCTTTTTCTCTCCTGAATAAAGCATTTAGTGGGATCAAAGAGCTGGAAGAGTGCCATTGCGAGTACTACAACCACTACAACTGCTACTACTGAAATATGAATCAATAGCCGAATCTATTCGTTTAACGTATTATTTAAAATGTTTTATTTAAAATGTATTTTTTATCAAATAACACAAACCAACATTAAATGCAGTTTTTACAGGGTTTGTACTGGCTGATGTTAGACTTGAGGCTTAACTTTTTTCTTTTTTTAAATGCTGGCTCTCTTTCAATTTCTCTCATTTTTATCATAATCAACGACAACGGCTCAGTGGAGAAAAAAAACAGGTTTGAGAGGGTTACTTTAAAAATCTAATCCACCAATTACCAATTACCTGTAAAAAATAAATAAATAGTAACTTATTATCACACTAGAAGAAGAAGTGTAACATGAATAGTTTCTATTAGTTTTACAATACTTTCACAACAAAAACAAGAACACAAGCGGGTTTAGCTCCTAATATGGATACAATAATATGGTTGACCCATTGATTTTAGCCTAACGTTAGCTTTTTACTTCACCAAATGGTGTAGATATGCAGAGACTTTCCTGCTGAACAAAATGTGTAAAGTATCATAAATGTGTGTTTACCCCCCAAAGCTTATTTTATACATTCAATGGAATCCTTCCGCTTGCTAACTTCCGGGTCAGCATACACAAATATATCATCACTGCACCACTCTATTAACAATGTCTTCATTATTTTGGGTATGGGCTTTTATATGCTTTGTTAACTGGTGGGTGAGGGGATCAGTGTGTGGAGGATCTTATAAAATATGGTTTTCACTCAGTTTGTTATTACAGTGTCAGGTAAGGTTTATGGAGGTCATGGGTCATCTAACTCTCGCTCTAAGAAAGTGGTGTTTTGAGCAGCTGGTTGTAAAAATAGTGAAGTTGGTTAAAAGATTGTTGAAGGTGGTGCAAGCGCTGATCTAAAGTGCTATTCCTTTTGGATAGAGATACATTTAAGAGGTGAAGAGGTAGGTAGAAAACATTACCCCATACTTTGATTCCTAAAAGGTCCTGAAAACCGAGCGCAACGACAATTTGTGGAGGTAAATTTGAGAAGAAGTTTTGTGGACTAGCCATGTAATTATACTCCCTTTTCCTGTTCACTTTTTACATTCATGAACACTCATTTGCACAATGTCAAAGTAAATAATATTCAAGCTTTAGAGGAAATTAAAATGCAACCCATAAATCGCATCTGTGTTACTTAGAATTCAGGACATTACCATTTCAGATTTTTCTGTCGCACAAATCATGATTAAATTGACACACCGGGCAGTGGCTAGTATGAATATTAAAAACTTAGTCTGGCTTCCCAGAAAACCAAAGCACAAATGTTCAGCTGAGGTTAGAGTAAAATCAGATTTATATATGTATTTTCTGCCAAGTGCTATATTTTATATAGAACCATAGGAAATATATAGGTGATTTTGTGGGAGTCAAGGTGAGGAAATTATCATTAGGAAGCATCAAATTGGTCTAATAATAAATCTGCTTAAGCAATATTTTGATTATGAATGTGAAATAAATCTCTCAAGTGGCACTATTATTCCAATAAATAACTCAAAAAATTGCTTTAATTGACGTTTCACTCCTGCAGGCCAGGAGGATGATATCCCTGGCTTGGAAGAACATGGATTAACCTTTGAAAAATGTATGGGTTAAAGGAAGGAAAGGACATTTAAAAAAAGTGCGGCATCGCTTACAAACATTACTAACAAGTATATAGGCACTTTGAAATTGTAGGAATGCTAAATGCTTATATGTTTGTCTTTTTATTTATTTATTCGATCTGATATATATTCATATATTTTTGTTTGTAATTTTGATTTACTTCCTCGTTTTGTCACTTGATGTTTTTTTGTTTTGTTAATTGGAGCTACTAAGTGTTTAAAGTAAGTGGAATTGTATATATTATTCAGGAATAACTGTCTTACTTCAGCATGTGTCATTTAATTATATTCACTGTCTGTATTTGTGAATGTGACTATTTGTATTTGAGGAGAATATGCAATAAACAAAATTCAGATATTTAAAGAATCTATGTTTCTGAGGAGCTCAAAATAAATTGAAGTGAAAACTGAAATTAAATATTGGACATTTTTCAGAAACCAGCAACCTCCAAATGGAGTGCCTAATGATATGAACTTTTTTTAACACAATGTAATGCACAATGTAATGAAATTTGCACCTAACGTGATTGAAAATGTATGAAATCCATTATTGGATTTATTAACCAATAATGTAATAAAATGTTCCGCCTGATATTGTAATTCCAACATTGTTTTTCAATAATTTAATGCATTTCAGGGGGGCATATCTATTTTTTAATCTGATTATTTTGAAGGATTATGTCCTAATGTTTGAAGACATTTTATTTTTCAGAAATGAAAACTTTTTAAAATGTATGATACTTTAAGTACACCTATCTTTACAGCACACATTTGACTTCCTCTTTGGAACGACAGTACATTTCACAATCGATAGCAAGGAGTACATTCCTATCAGGCAAAGATGCATTTAAGTAAAATTGGAAATGAACCCGCCCATAGCCATGCTGAAAGATGGTCCATTGTAACAGAGTGGAATTCAAATTGAATTGCCATCAGTTGCACCCCCAAGGTTTGTAATCAATGACAATTACCTTTCTTGTACTTGTAAAGGTGGCCTCACCGAATAAGTTAGAGAACCACTGCTTGAACTTAGTACATTTTATGGGGAATTTTTTATCTCCCTGCTTATTCATTTCCTAATCACTAATTCACTGTTTCAATCAAATTAGCTTTTGCAATGGTGTTAAAATAAAATAAAAACATTATTTGTTTAATGGGTTTTATTATATTTTTGACCATATTCAGTGCAACAATTGTATAACACAAAAAAGGATTACATTATAGGGTAAGGGTTAGGGTCACCTGGGCTACATATAGATGAGCTTGTGTTTTGTGTCTTTGTTTATTCATTCTACCCATCTTAAAATCATAATTAGTCATTAGTCATTAGAAATAACGAAATACTACGATAATACACACTTACATCTCAGTTAGCATAGCCAAGCTAGTAATAGACATATTTTCCTGAGAATATATATTGTCTAGGTATAGCATAATCCATCAGCTAGCAGGTAGTGAGTGGTGTTAGATCCCTACCTGTATGAATATGTAGTCATCCTGAACCACCAGCGAGCTGATGTCGATGTATCCAGGGAACGGGTAGTTCCTGTTAGCTTCTGTGCACGTCTGAGCTCTGCACGTGACATACTGCACATCTGTCCCATGGGAAGACATACCGAGAGCATGATCATCTTATGAATACTACATCATCTGTAGTAAATATTAATATATTGAGCTGTATGGAGAGCGTTTTGAATGGTAGCCGTTTTTCGTCAATTGCTTGGAAGCTAATAATGTGTTGTTGTGTTGTACTCCACATTATGTTTGACATTTTCTCTGCCTCTCTTTGTAGCGCCAGATGTATTTTTATCATGTGAAGATTGCAGCATCTCTGCCTGCAAATCACACAATGGTTATATGAGAAAAAAATCATGTGAATATCTTTGATTAGAGCTACCACGCCACACAGGCTGGCATTAACAGTTTCACCTCTGTATCCTATGGAGGACCTTGGTGGTACTGCCATTCAGAGTTATGGAGCTGACATTCAGTGAGTGAAAGGGAAGGGGAAAAAAAGGCCATATTAATCATTAAGCAGTGGGTTCATTGGTAGGGAAAGCCTGTACTGTTTCCCTGGGGATTACTGCTTTTATCCAATAGGAATGTATTCCTATAGAGACCTGTTCAATACTCCCCTTTGATCTGAATGTGTGTGTGGGAGTCACTTACTTCCATCCGGCGTATGAGCCTCCATGTGGACCAGATCTGGCTCTTTGTCGAGGCTGGAAACAGACCTTGGAGAGAATGACACCGTGGAAGAATACATCACCGTAACGTTAACAAATAGAAAGTGATGTAAAGATATAAAAGAAAGAAAAAATACCAAAAAGTTGTCAGTGCAGAGGAGCGAACAGAAAAAAAAGGGACAAAAGTCTTGCAGAGGCTAACCCTAACTGTGGGAGCCATATGTGTTTTTCATTTATTATGTGGTGTTTTCTTTTACATATTATTGGTGGGGTGAAGCACTAGATTTACCCACTCACTTGGGTTCAGAGAGAAGTAGGCTACACTAACAAAAACTAAAACATTGACTTTATTTAAATGTATTATGTCAACAGATTGCACATAACTGTATTAGGTTAGTTAAAAGCAATAATATTAAAATGCACTTTTGTACGTCTTTTATACATGAATATGTGTCCCCGGTGTTCCAGGGAACTCACCAAGTGTCCGAAAACACAACCCTCTCTATTTTCCTCCATACCCAAATCTCTAAAAACGGGGCAATGGATCTGATAAAAACTGATCCAGATTTGAACACGTTACTGACGTCAGGACGGTGGCGCTACGGCTATTGGGCCAACTCTCCACCTATCAGGGGAATGTGGGGTTGGGCCACGGCCGGCCATTGCCGCTCGAAAGCGCTGGAGACGCCGTAGTACATATGCCAGGCCTGTAAGTGGCGCTGTAGTCTGCCACAAAAGCAGCGAAGAAGACTTCCCGCGCATGGTTGCCATGGTTTCCCTTCTGTTTATTCTCTGCTGTGGCTCTTTTTCTCCCTCCCCGAGGCAAGCGTTTGCTCCCGCTGCTTTAATTCAATGCAATCCCTCCCCGTCGAGGCAAGCACTGTAATTCTCTCCGGTTAGTCCACCAGCAGATGACAAACACCCACCTCTCCGCCTCTTCCAAGGAACGAGGGGACCGTGCGGCAGAGTTTCAGTTAGGTTTTTTTTCGCCGGTCAAGATGTCCGTTAAAGTTGAAATCTTCCGGACAAAATTAGAAAAGTGCCGGTCAAAGGTCTTCTTTGTTATTTATTGAGCTTTAAAACAAATGAATAACGACTCTATATAATAATATAATAAAACACGGAGGACGGAGATCTATTTTTCTCCCCCTCTTCTGACTTGATCAGAGCGGCTCCCCTCTCCTGCAGGGGGGCGTGGTCAGCTGCAGCTCACAGAATCAGCCCCCTGCAAAAACAGGGCTGGAGAACAGCAAATAGAGTGAAATGAGGCATGGCTAAAATGCATGATCTGTTTGGTATTTTGAAAACAGAAACGTATAAATATACCTTATATAGGTATGGCCCTACAATATATCATTTAAATATAGCATGATAGGTCCACTTTAAATGTAATTTGTATTGGTTTATTTTAACAATGTGATTGCATGATTCCTTATGATTTTATTGCAGATCTACTGTGAGCTAATGAGCAAATATAGCAAACAAAGTCATTTCAAATATACCGACAAAACACTTACAATTTTGAAACTGTTGGCCAACTTCACAATATTTGCAGGTTTTTGTGGTTGCATGTTTCTCCAAGTTGTTCAATTGTTTCCAAACCCTGTGCATGTGTTGTCAAATTGGTGAAGTTGTTTCTTCATTTGCATGTGTACGGTAACATTTGTGGTTTTTTAATTGCATCATTTTTTTAAACTGCAGCGCGTTGTGTCTAGGGCCATTATAACGTGTTAGCCCCTGTCGGCCACAGTAGCCTACAGCAGCAATACTAACCCAACAGTACAGGAATTTTTCCTTCATATTCTCAATGCCACATTATTGCCAGCACATCCACAAACTGTAGACTAGTTCCATTCCAGCACAATGCAACACGACAAATAAATAGTCTTCTTATCATCGACTGGGTTGTGCAGGGTCAGCCCACTCTCTGTCTTTAAGTATATCTCTGGGTATAATCTTGCTTTCTCGCTCATTTCACTGCGTGTGGATTAGACTGGGTAGACATGGCTTTCCAATTGTGGCAATATTTCATATCCCTTGGAGGCGGATGAAGCCATTGTCCAAATGCGGCCAACTGGAGGCCTGCCTGGCCATTGCTAGCGACCCATTCAGTGTTTAAATGTCCTTGAAGGGGCTTTGGCGGTGAAGGGCGAAGCCAGCGATGGATTGTGCACATTCTTTAGGATTATACCACAATGGCACGGAAGAAACTAAGATTTATGCAAGTTAGAGTGGGTATAGCCACCAGCAATCTTACGCACACCCCAGTCACCTCACAGAGGGGGTGAGGGCAGTGAGCTGGAATAGATCCGGGCCTTAGTTTGTGATGAGTGTGCACTTTCAGACTTAGTAGGTACACTGCAGGGGGAGTGAGCAGTAGGCGGGACTGGATAAGAAGCGACAGGGACGTCCCAGATCCATTATGAGTCATAGCTCCTCATACTGTATGTAAGCTTCTGTTTCTGCATGCGTATAAAACCACCCCCTTTTCATTCTATTGCTTATATTTATGTGCAATGTGCCCACTACGAGCCGGGCGCGTTTGAGAAATGCTGAATGCAAAGTGTGTTCTGAAGGTGATTAATCTCTGCCTGATTGTATCAAGGGGTAGATGATATGCAGAATTCCAGCAGCATCACCAGTCATTCACACACCTCGTCCCAAGCCATCAATATCCCTTTGCTCAGTCGCGTGGAACATGAGCAACAATCTCTGCATTCCTGAGTAAACTAAACTTTGGAGGAGAGGAGTGGACATTTAAAAAATTGATGACTCACCAGTAGAATCGGCTCGGCGTGACACGTTCGTGAATGAGCTGCCACTTTCTTCCAAAGTCCACCGAGCTGTACAACTGCAGAGAAAAAAACAAAAAGTCAGTCTCGTTAGCAAGATGAATGCACTTTTACACTTCAGTCCGGCTCGTAATTAGAAGGGCTGATTTAAAAGTCGTAACAGTGACGAGGGAGCTAGAAACATGGCTGGATAATTCCAGGGTGGAGGCTGTAAAGCATCGTCAGGAGACATCGAGCTGAAATGCTATCATCATTACCAACTGGCAATTTAAGCTAACATATTGTCACAGATATAGGCATCTTTATTCCCTTACAAATTAGAGCTTTGGGTTTAAGACCATGCACATAACAGGAATGATACACTAGAAGTGAAATAGAGATGACATTTATGAGGCCACTTTTTGCTTCATCATCGAAATATTTGGTGTAATCCAGTGGGTTTTATAAGGTGGCTGACAGAGGCAAACAAGGCAAAAATTCTGCAAATATAAGACATACACTGCATTTTTAAAACATTCACAGCTATTACTAAAAGCTCTGCTTTACCGAAACGCTGCAAACAAACTGGGACGCTAAAAAGTGACGCACACAGCTGGGACCGTAGTGAAGTTGGTGAAGATGGTTTTTTTTCATTTGCATGTGTCTAGGCACATTTCTGTTTGTATATTTTTGAATCATTTTGGAAAGTGCAGCCTGTTTTGGGGCTTTGTAGTGTGTTTGCCCTTGTTTAACCTGCTGTTTAATGTTTGACTGTTTCTTCAGCACCCAATCAAATCCAATGTCCTGTAGAATGAGCATACATGAATGCAAAGAATGATATATAACACAGCTGCCATTAAGGTGTTTAGTATGTAGCCATTGGCTCAAATTCAGTGTATTAATTACATCTTCTGGTGCCAGGGTGAACAATTAATAACCTGGGTGCATTTCCTAACACTGTCTTGATTGATGTTGTAGACACAGCTCCCCATTGTTGTTTCCTCGCAGCGCGGAGAGTCGGAGGCCCCAGTTGAGCTCTATGCTAATGTTCCTACTTGTGGTACCTTTTATCACAGCAAATCTGACACTTACCAAGATAAAAGGATATACATTAGTCACACCGCTGCAGCATTTATTTGTCAGCTACACAAGGGAAAATCTATCTATGCCAGCAGGTGTGTTTTACAATATAAAAATGACAGTTTATCAGTTTCTTCAGAGCATGTACAGCTAGTGTGCCATACAAATGCATGATATAACAGACTGCTTCTTATTTGAATCACATGGATGTGTCATGATCTTGGTTTTTGTTTTTTATTTTGTAAAAACACTGTCCCTGTGTCATGTCTGTTTTTAATTCCTGTTTTGTGTTTTTTCTCGCCTTTTTTTAGCATGTCCTGGCCTTATAAAGTGTTGGAGCAATGAATCCTAAAACCTGGAAATAACTTTGCATTTTGACACTTCCAGTTGCCGTGTCTTGAAGTACATGGGTTTTTAAACGCGTTTGTGGTTAAAGGCTGGATATAAAATATTTTCTTATTTTGTTTTATGACATAAAATACCTCAGTAAATACCCCACTATTAGAACTACTAGAACAACGTCTGTTTGGTTCTCTTTGCCTTGCCTGGCCTAGTGAATGTTAAATTAAAGTCTTTATGTTAAAAGTTCCCGTTTACTCTACTCTCTTTCATTTGTGACCATCCTGGCTATGCGTTGTGTGACATGATACATAACGTTAACCCTCTAGCATACCATTATTCTATCATATTATCACCACTTCAAGTTCATGCCTCTGTTTGAAGTGCTTGCCAAGGATGAGTAATGGCAAGAGACCAAAGCTTCTTTATTCTGTCATGTGCAGTTGAAGCGTAGGTCTTGTATAATTTGTCCCAACCGTGATGAAGTTGAACTCATTCTAATATGCAGTACCCATAGGCGTCCACTCTACAGAAAATGTGATTCCTGATACTTCCAACCTCAGTAATGAAAGTTCCCCAGCGGAGCCTTTGGGTGAGTGTAGCAGGGCAGCAGGCAGAGTCCCTCATCACTTTGGACAGTGACATATGACGCCAGCGGGCAGGCTCAGCTTTTCCTCTCTCCATTCATCAGTTCAATGACATCTTACATTTTAAAGCTTCAGAGCTGTCACAAAGTAAGCTTCATAGTTTCCCTCTCACTTCGATAAATCAGCCGGCCAGCTGCCGTGGCACCATGCTGACAGCCGAGGCTGCCGGCAGAGGACGGAAGCTCAAATGGTGATTGAGGAATTGCAGAGAACACCTTAGTTAGATTCATCTATTCATGCTGAAAACGTTTGGGTTCATTAGGGTGCAGGTATTGGACATTCAGCTGAAGGTGCTTTGAAATGCTGTTGTGGACTTTTTAGTAGTTTGTTAATCACATTTGTGTATGCTTTGTTTTTTATTTCAATGGTAACTATGACCAATATTCCGTTAGAAGAAAGTACATTTAAAAATCGTTTTGATAAATTAACAAATCTTCTTAATAATATCTTTTGAGCGGCCCGACCAAGTAAGGAGGCAGAGGCAGAACGTCCTGATACAACCCGGTGTGGGAATTTATTCATCATTGGTACATGATAAACAACATCAATTTCCCCATATGACTGTCTCCAGCACTATCTCTTTCTCTCAATGAGCCTAACATGCCACCCTTTATAGGCCCAACAATTGGACTGTACCATCAAAAGGGGTGGTATGTGCACAGATGGTTAGCTCAGATAATGAAAACCAGTAAAATAAAAATAAACATTACTTGGAAATAACAAACATCTATTAATTAAAGTACTTAATTAATGTATGAAAGGAAAGATATTATAAACCAACAACATCAATGTACACGATATAAAACCACCCCTGCCTCCATCCTGCTCAATAACCCCACCCGGAACGATAAAACAGGGTTCGCCGTTTCCCTGGGGACTCTTTACGGTGACGGACCCTGGGACCGGAGACGGGAGAACAGGTGGAGGTGAGTGTTAACTACTGCAGGGATGATATGACAAATATATAACAGAAATGTATATTTCTTAGTCTAAACAGCTTATAAATGACTAGAATCGCTAATCACACTTTGTTCACCCATAGGTTGGCGTGCCAATCCAGCCCCCCGACATCAAGGATTAATGTGTTCTCATAATGACGTAAACCATTCAATAAAACGGGTTTGAACGCCACACAAGCTCTTGTCATCTTTCATACATCAAATGCTTCCTGAGAAGAGAATCCCGCACACACTCTGTAAACCTGACATATTTCTGTACAAAGCTACCTCTTTTAAAATATGCGCAGCTCTCCAGTTACCATCCCAATACTGCACATCATTTATTTTTCAACATTCTAATTCTGAAACTAGAAAAAAAAAAAGTATGCGAAAATCTATTACAATTTCATTGAACTGATACAAAACAAAAAAACAAAGTTTCCACGAGAGGGAGTTTCTCCAACACTCACTCTCCTAGTCTGCTTTGTTAACTTCTGTAACAAAGTGACATCACTATGTAACACTTGCGCTTCTATTGATATGTGATATGTTAAGAGGCAGAACATCTCTAAGACGTTGACCAATCATAACAGAGCCGGCTAGCTAACCAATCAGAGCATACTGGGCTCTGGTTTCAGACAGAGAGTGAAAAGAGGTGCTGCAGCACAGGCAGTATGAGAAGAATAAAGAGCTTTTTGAACACTTAAGCATGGAAACGTGTCACAGTCGAGGCACAAAATACAAATATTAATCTGAAAATGTGCATAATAGGGCCCCCTTACCATGCAAGCAATACAGGTGGATGCATGAATTTATTTTATTTTATTTGATATACCCTTAATCGTCCCTCAGAGGGGAAATGTACATTCTGCATTTGACCCATCCTAGGCGGTGGTGCCCAATTCGCCACCACCGCCCGATGCATGATATAAAGTGAGAAATGACTATCTGTATGACAGTGTGCACTGCACTCGTCTGTGTAGCTGACCTTACTGTATGCCAGTGGCGAACCGTGTCTATCACAACTGGACCTTCTGTAGACACCCCCCCCCGGATTCTAAAATGCGGTTGTTCTAGTTAGACGGACGTCACGGCGGCAGTCACTTTGCGTTGGACGGCCTTTTTTTATAATGTCCATTGTTTCACTGAATGATCGTCTTGAAAAGGGTACTAACAACAATTCCACAACAACATCATCTTCACCTGTTGCCATTTCGACGTAAAAAAACTATAAAACTTTAAATGAATTGCTACGTAGCACTTACGCTGGATCCTCTGTCTCGAGCCAGTGAACTAACGGGCCTTCTAGAATACCGTGGAACCGAGGGAAACTCTGAAAGAATACGCCCATTGGCTACAAATCAATATATCATTGGTTGATTCAGTGTAAGGGCCAGGGCATTCTATCAAGGATATAGAATACCTTGGTTGAAGGATATTCTTCCCAGAGACGCAGAAAAATATCTGATTGGTTGCATTTATTTTCTAACACAAAACCACTCAAATACGTAGTGCATGGACCGAGAAAGACAAACAAATCAACGTAACACTGTAATATTACAGATCAACAACACAGATATGGATCTAATTTATTCATTTTATTTAAATTGTATTAAATTGTATTTAAATAATTCAATTAGTTGTTTTGTTTCATCTGATCGTCCAGGGTATACCTTGAAGGCCATGACGGTTCACCACTGCTGTATGCTCTGTTCACAAGGCATATATTTTATGAATTTACAAGAAGGCAGATATAATTGTGAATGTGTCAATGTCATAAAACTGGATTTCTTTTATCTGATTCTGGGGACTTTATCTCCAGTGACAAATTATATTGTAGCATCTGTTTAAATTGACGGACACAGTTGATTTCAGTATGTTCGCAAATATATATCTTATCTTTGCAGGTAATAGAGACAAAACTTATCATTAGCATTACAGTGTAGCTTTAATTTTGCTCTTAATGGGTCCCCGACATTATACATTAGTGACACTAAGTGTAACAGCCTTTTAATTATTTTTTAAATGTGATGTTTAATTAGCTGCTGCTTAATATGGAAACAAAACACAGGTATA